GAGTGAAGTGTTTTGACAATTTCATACTTGCATGTAGAAGTTTTTGGATTTGGGGGTCAACTATATTCTGCCTAAGAAAATTATGTTCTCTCAAAAAAAATAGTTTTGCTTTCTTTGCCTTGATTTTCTTCCATCTCTCAATTGGAAAAGGAGAGAAAAAGGAAAATGGGCAGCTTTTGATTTTTAAAGAGTTCACCTTAGAAAATATAACTCTTTCAAAAGTGATTTATTTTTCTTTAAAAACAAGGTCTTAGAGAAAAGCTTTTATGGAAAATTGAAAGCAGTTTTTCAGGGGAGAGGAAAGATGAGTGACAAGGAAAGATATGGCAAAAACAGAATTGTTGGAGATATGTCTCACTCAAGAGAAACTCTTTTGTCCAAGACAAAAGGGAATTACCCAGAGTCCCATTTCTTCCTGGAAAGTAATTGCATCAAAACTGTATATTACTTCAGTCATAGCACACTGTAAGCCATGTAGCTGACCGTAATACAGCTATACTGAAGGATCTGAGTTTGTAGCAAGTTTTCATTTGTTAGGTATTTAATAAAGGCTTCCACACTCATGTTGTATGCTCTGTGTTCAATCCTGTTTCTGATTAATAGGATTTTGATAGAACTGTAATGTAGGTGGGACTTGGTAGAACTTCAATGCTGAGAAAAAGATTTCATTTACAGTTTGAGTGCTACTTTGCTTATAGGCATCTATGACTAAAGCAGTATTGTACAGAGGCACACTTAAAGCAGCATGAAAATGTTTGTTAATATAGCTTATGTCTGGTTCTAAATAGTGTATTTTCCTTTCCTGAATTCACATGATCAGTCAGCCACCGTGTATAAACTGTATGATTCACTATCCCAACCCATTAATTGGACTAGATTTAAAAGGTACCCAAGAGCTTTAAGAGCAATGCTACCATCATCTCAAAATACTAGCCGTAATTATCCACCAACTAGAGAGGGATGTGTTCTTTTTTCAAACTATGTATAAATATAATTTTTCTTGCAGACTATCTGAATAAGCTCATGTTTTCCTGCTTTAATATTAATTAAAAGTATTTAATTCCTCTCCTGTTCCTTCCAGGTAGAGAACATAGATTGGGACATCCAGACCGGAGGACTAGATTCCACCTTCCTCCTCGGTAAAGAATACATGTGTACAGGTAGCAAATGGAGATGATGGGATAGTTACCGTTGAGCTAATTTTTTGTCTATGAGAGCCTCTTTTTACAAACTCTACGGAGTAACTGAACCATGTGACTGCAGAGGAAATCACTCAAAGCAGAGGCTATTCAGCCTGTTAATCACGTCATGTTAGGCCTAAGCTTGCTGTGAGACTGGAATCACTAAAACTTAAGTTAAATTTACCAGCTGAAGCACAGTAGCATCCCGTATAGCTATATTGCTTTGTCTCTTTGACACTGGAAGGTCTGAAATGTTTTTACAACATCATTAGATATTCCTGACTTTAAGTTTTAAGACTTAAACCGTAAGTTTTGCATATTTTCATTGTAGTTGTGCATATTACAAGAGTTTGCTTACCATGAATAATGTGGAACATCCATGCTAAATTGTGGTTTGTGTCTTAATTGTGGATTATGTCTTTATCTTAAGGGTTATACCATTGTTACTGAAATGTGTTGAAAAGTTTGAAACATAATGTCACTAATGTAAACATCTGCCAGTGAAACAAAATTACCTTCCTGTAAAATGCAGCACTTTCTTTCAAGAGCAAAAAATTGCTATTACTTTTGGCACTTCTATGTAAATGTAAAATAATAGAGCACATGTGATTTTTAACAGCACTATAGTATCAGATATTGGTAAATTGCTACCTCAAAAGCCTCTCTTAAAGTCATGCCTTGTGTTTTTTAAGAAACTGTTTTAGAGATTACAACAACTTTCTTATGTCTCCCATTTGCATACCCATTCAGTTAAAAATAATCAGAGATGTTTTACTTAGTTACTCTCTTCAGGAAAAAAAAATAGGGAGTTATGTAGAAATCCCATTTTAAATCATGAAGTGTAAAAATTGTACCAGAGGAAAAAAGTGCTGTCAGGTCGCATAGACAGTGGGTGACACACTTAGAACTGTGGTTATTTCTTTACTGATCTGCATCTAAACCTAATTCAAAATTGTCTCCATCTATGTAATCCTCAACAATTTCATGCTTTTCTCAGGTTTCTAGCAATCTTTGAATTGGGTTGGCTCAAGTGGATGTTTATGGCACTGATGGGGTTTTGTTTGTGTGCTTTGGAATCACAGTAGCTTTAGTTTTGTACTTCAGCATTTTCAGTACATTAAGTTGTGTAATAACCTCTCTTCTCATACGGGAGGTATATGATGAAAGAAAGATGAAAACCTGATGTCCTGTTCCTGCTCGCAAAGAAGACTAAGCAGCAGAAAAAGAGGATATCCAAAGAGAGAGGCAAAATATTAAGAGCAGGTTTTGAAATCTGATACAGTTTGCAGATTTTCACAAGAGTATATTTAGTTATTGAGGATGATGACTGTTCCAAACAGTGGAGTCAGTGGTGTTGCACATGGACAAAACTTTGTATTTATGCAGAGACCTGTGGCCTTAATGTTTATTGTGTTGGAAAGTCCACTCTTTTGGATTATTTTTCTTTTTTGTTTTGAGTAATATTGATTAGTATCTTGTTAGTGTTAGTTCTCATAATCATAATTCTAGATTTTACTCATATAGAAACTGTATCTCAGTCTTAGGCTTCTTATTGTATTACTGCCAGGATTATTTATTTTTATAAGCATCTGAAAATTAGATTTATATCTGAAAACTATCTCATGACCTATGCTAACAGAGAGTAGCAGACACTGTGAAACTTAATGCTTGCAGAACTTAAAGTTTAGAACATAAGTGCTGATCTAGATAATTAATACATAGATCACTAAACCCAGAACACATCATTAAGGTAGTTTAATCGCCTGCATAATACAGATCACACAATCTTACCGTGCAACAGGCTGTAACATCTAAAATTGTTTCAGTGTTGATGTTCATGTGTCTTATTTGGCTCTTCACAACTGTTTGTCTTTTAGATCATGCAAGTGACCCTACTCATTACTGGAAGCAGATGAAAATGGATACGAGAACAAGATACATTTTTATGAAATGCTGTATGCTGAAGATCATAAAAACTTCATCAGTATTTCAAGAATGGTAGTGGGAAGGCTCTAATCAGAAATTTATTAAGCCTCATTTTCAGTCCCATTTTATTTTGTATATTTTTTTCCCTAGCCTATAGCTTAGAGAAGTAAATTATGGAATGTTGTGAAACTATTATTATATAATTTAGGTTCCAGATAGTATTGTTTGGAGCTCTTTACAAAAACCTTGTTGACACAATTATTAAAAATTATCATTAAAAAATTATGTCTAAAAAGTAGAGGCCAGTGCTAGTTGTTGAATAAGTCTGCAAAAATTTAATTCATTCATCTGGTTCTGTTGTCAAAACTATTATGTCTCTTCTGTTAAACCTTTATGCTACATGAGGCTGAAAGTGCCTGGTCTCAGACAAAAAAGGGTACTTCTAAAATGTTTACAACCATATAGCGGTTAAACAATGTTACTTTTCTGTCGTGTGGCTTACTTTCGTAGTTCCTCAGTCTCAGAGAATGAGAAAACGGTAGCTAAAACATTCCAGAAAATTATCAAATTAGTTTCTATGTACAAAACTGCTACTGCTTTAATGTCCTATTACTTTGGGGCCTTTCAGAGCTGAGTCAAATACATATTCCTCTTCTGGAGTACCTAGAATTCTCCTCCATGTGTAGTGAGTCATTTATGAAACATTTAAGGTTTATACCAGACCTTACATGTGTCTTTAGCATCAAAGTAAAGGTGTCAGTGTGAGCCTCTGGCCAGTATAATTTTGGAGGAAATTCTAAATGAAGGGGAAACTAACAGACATTTTGAATACTTTTTTTTTTTCCTAAGTGGCGGCTGTTTGAATTTTTTCCCCCTGTTGACATCTTTGGTGCATCTTTTGCAGGTATTAGTGACACCATGATTTCACTCTGTACTGATAAGGTAGTCCCAAGAGATCTAGGTAAATGGACAGAGTACAGGCAGGGCAATCAGGTATGTTCTGTGTTAATTTTCACTGGTCTATTACTCATAACACAGGTTTTATTACTACTTTGGAGATACGTATATTTTTAGAATAGTACATAAGCACACTTGAAATTAAATGTCTTTAGAAGTGCTTAGCATGAGAAAAAAGCATTATTTTTATATTCCAAAGAGAAAATTTAGCTCTAATTTTGAAATCTATTTTCAGAAGAAAAATAGCTATTGTTGTAGTCTAGCTATTGTACAACTTACACTTACCTTTATGGTACAATGATTACTCATTTAAACTATTGGGTTTAGTCCATTATTGTTCAGTTAATGTTGTTTATTAGGCCTTGTGCAGGTAACTCCTTTGAGTCAACTGTCAGTGGAACTTAGTCCCTATTTAGTATACATGTTATGATAAAGTAAATAGTACTGTCAGACATACATAACTTAATGCTATAATTTCCTCGTGTGTATTTTTCTGCTTGTAACCCAATAAAAATATTCTTTCATACTCTGCATATAGCAACTGTCCAGCTAAACAAATAAATTGGCAGCGATACAGGATTTCTAGTTCTATTATAAGTTTGAACAGACACAGGTTTTGCACAACACACTGTCTGATCTGTGTTCCATCCTGCTTCCTTTTTCTATTGATTTCGCACTGATCGTAATTGTACTACCACTTTTTTTGTTCTTTTCTTTTTTGTTTCCCCCCAAACTTTTTGGAATAATGTGGTCTGAGTTTTATGGAAAGTTCTCTAGTTTCAGGAATCTCATGATGTATAATAGTGTCTTTGAAAAGAATGTAACTGTGTGCCAGAATTTGTTGGTAATTCCCCCTTCAGGCTTTGATATGAGAAAAGATTTCTGTTGGCCTCAATAAACAAAGTTAAGTACAGTTAGAGTGGGAGTTTTGCTGTGCTAGTTGTGGTGTGTTATGAATTATTGGTAATAATTACCCTGACTACTGAAGAATTGTTAGCTTCTCTGTGAGGGTTTTTTTCCTCCTAATGTTAGACCATAAGCAGAAGCTGCTTATTATTATTTCCAAGCCAAAAGATTTTTTTTTTTCCCACCAGGAATCATAGAGTGAAAGCAGAAGCATAAAGTTGAAACACAGAGGTGCTACTTTCCTGTCTCACTGAACTTTTAAGTTGGCCAGAGTACCATAAAGCTTATGGGCTGTAGAAGGAAATCATATATAAGAACATGAGCTTAAAGATTCCAGTCTGATAGGGGCTTCCTTAATATTTGGACTACAGGGTTGCTTTGAATGGGTACAGGAAAGAGGAAAAACAGACATGTGGATTTGAAGTGAAGGAATCTGTGTTTGTGAAGATAAAAAAATGCAAGAAAAGCATTCTTACTTCTTGTTTGGCTATATTCCTTACTGTCTTCTGTAGCTTGTGCACTGGGTAGCTGCCTTTCATCAAATGTTCGCTGAGATTGTGGATTTATTTATTAGCTTTATTTATTCCCCTTCTGCAAGGGGATTCAGAGAACAGCCATTAACATCAATAACTTAGTCAACTGTGACTCAGCAAAAATAGTGATGTGGTCATTGTGAGAGAAAGTGACACCAACAGGAAGACATTTGTCAACTTTCCCTGTTTTATCTATGATGTATCCTTCATCTTACATTACTTTGCTCATCTGTGACACCATCATACTGGGAATCTGAATCTGGGCTGCAGAAAACACTGAAACACTGAGTTAATCTTATGATGACTGTGGGCACTGTAAGTATCAAAACATCTGCGTTATGCCCGTTTTATGTAACAGGAAACTACAGTTTTAATTGCTTTGCTACCTTAGCAAGGGCTATGCTGAGGCAGAGGGGAGCAGCAATGCTAAAGCTCTACAAACCTTTTTGTGCCATGCTGTCTGGGCAAAGTTATAAGGATAATCAAACACATGGTACTATTTTGCAAAGGTGGTCTTTAGTGTTGGGGAAGATCAAAACTTTACACGTTAATGTTTAAACATTGACTCCCTCTTGTCAGCTAAGCTGAGAGGCAGGCTAGTATATGCTCCTTCCCTACAAAGGTTGATGGGAAACTCCTT